TTACTGCAAAAGAAGAAATAAAAATTATTATTAAAAAAAAAACTCAAAATATTTTCATGTGTTGAATTGTTGGCAGCCACAACATGATGTTGTAGGTTGCATTTGATTGAGTCTTTTTGCCGGTAAAATAAGCAACAAAAACTACCTTGGGCTTTCGGGAACTTTGCAAATTTTATAGTAACTTTGGAGTGTTCACCTAAGTAACGGAGGGGTTTTTAGTCACTTTAGTGGCACTCACATCCCACATTCTCAACCAGCAGTTACCCTCCTTTTTAGGGTAATTGAATATTTGATTATCATTAGGAACAAAGAGGGTAGGATCAACTTTGAATCTAAAGTCGACACTTTCGAACTTTTTGGGTAAAAATCTTAAAACATGACGTTTCTAAAAACGTCATAAATATTTGAAAATGATCGTGTGCGTTCGAAATGTGGTTAAAATTATGATATTTTGGCTTAACATTTGCAAATTAAAGGTGGTTAAAAATAAGACATTATTGTAATGACCAAATGAAGACAATGTGCCATATTTTTACGTTATTATGCATGTCTATGCAAATATGAAATTTATCTAATTTTGTGATTCAATTGACTTTCCATTGTTCGCAGCTATAAAAAAATCTTTTTTTTCATTGCTAAATAGTCATTTTTTAATCCAAAATAAAAAAGAGAGAAAATGATGGATAAAAGCAACAAACTTATTATATACATAGATTATAATACATGTTATAAATATTTAAATTAATTTTATGTTCATAATTAATCTAAATTGGCTATTGAATTAATTAATTAGTAAACGAGTTATCAATTATTATCTAGAGATTATTCATTATCCATCTTGTCATTTTAGATATATGCTACATGCTAGATTTTTTTATTATGATTTGTGCAATTTTAATAAAAAAATATGCATACAAATTTATTATTAGTATTTAAATATAAAAATAATATAAATAAGGGTATAATAGTAAATATACCCTTAAAAATTGCATAAATAAGCCCCAAAACACCCTAAAAAATAGCCCTAAAGCTGATCCCAAAACAGACTCAACACCTACCAAAAGCTTCCAAAATCAGCCACGAAACTATTACCAATAGCCTCTCAAAACCCTTACAGAGCAACCACTTTGGATAGCCCATTTGAACTATCAAAGCAGACCCCAAAAAACCCCAAACTAGACTAAAAAAACCTCAAAAAATCTCACCAAAACGGACACAAAACATCCTTCAAAACAGACTCCTTGAACACTTTTTGGAGTTACTGCAAAAGAAGAAATAAAAATTATTATTAAAAAAAAGACTAAAAATATTTTCGTGTGTTGGATTGTTGGCAACCACAACATGATGTTGTAGTTTGCATTTGGTTGAGTCCGTTTTCTAGTAAAATAAGCAACAAAAGCTACCTTGGGCTTCATGAACTTTGTAAATTTTATAGTAACTTTGGAGTGTTCACTCGAGTAACGGAAGGGTTTTTGGTCACTTTAGCGACACTCACATCCCATATTCTCAACTAACGAGTTACCCTCCTTTTTGGGTAATCGAATATTCGATTATCATTGAAAACGAAAAGGGTAGGATCGACTCGCATCTAAAGTCAACACTTTCGAACTTTTTAGGTAAAAATCTTAAAACATGACGTTTCTAAAAGCGTCATAAATGTTTGAAAATGATCTGTGTGCGTTCGGAATGTGGTTAAAATTATGATATTTTGGCTTAACATTTGCAAATTAAAGGTGGTTAAAAATAAGACATTATTGCAATGACTAATAGAAGACAATGTGCCATGTTTTCCTGTTATTATGCTTGTCCGTCCAAATATGAAATTTATCTAATTTTGTGATTCAATTGAATTTCCATTGTTCGCAGCTATAAATTTTTTTTTCATTGCTAAATAGTCATTTTTTAATCCAAAATAAAAAAGAGAGAAAATGATGGATAAAAGCAACAAACTTATTATATACGTAGATTATAATACATGTTATAAATATTTAAATTAATTTTATGTTCATAATTAATCTAAATTGGCTATTGAATTAATTAATTAGTAAACGAGTTATCAATTATTAACTAGAGACGATTCATTATCCATCTTGTCATTTTAAATATATGCTACATGCTAGATTGTTTTTGTTATGATTTGTGCAATTTTAATAAAAAAATATGCATAAAAATTTATTATAAGTATTTAAATATAAAAATAATAAAAATAAGGGTATATTAGTAAATACATCCTTAAAAATTGCATAAATAAGCCCCAAAACACCCTAAAAAATAGCCCTAAAACTGATCCCAAAACGGACCCAACACCTACCAAAAGCCCCCAAAATCAGCCTTGAAACCGTTACCAATAGCCTCTCAAAACCCTTACGAGCAACCACTTTGGATAGCCCATTTGAACCGTCAAAGCAGCCCCAAAAAACCCCAAACTAGACTAAAAAAACCCCCAAAAAAATCCCACCAAAACGAGACACAAAACATCCTTCAAAACAGATCCTCGAACACTTTTTGGAGTTACTGCAAAAGAAGAAAAAAATTATTATTAAAAAAAAGACTAAAAATATTTTCGTGTGTTGGATTGTTAGCAACCACAACATGATGTTGTAGTTTGCATTTGGTTGAGTCCGTTTTCTAGTAAAATAAGCAACAAAAGCTACATTGGGCTTCATGAACTTTGTAAATTTTACGAGTAACTTTGGAGTGTTCACTCGAGTAACGGAAGGGTTTTTGGTCACTTTAGCGACACTCACATCCCACATTCTCAACTAGTAGTTACCCTCCTTTTCCGGGTAATCGAATATTCGATTATCATTGGGAATGAAAAGGGTAGGATCGACTCTGCATCTAAAGTCAACACTTTTGAACTTTTTAGATAAAAATCTTAAAACATGACATTTCTAAAAGCGTCATAAATGTTTGAAAATGACTATGTGCGTTCTTAATGGGGTTAAAATTGTGATATTTGGCTTAACATTTGCAAATTAAAGGTGGTTTAAAATAAGACATTATTGCAATGACCAATAGAAGACAATGTGCCATGTTTTCCTGTTATTATGTCTCGTTTGTCCAAATATGAAATTTATCTAATTTTGTGATTCAATTGAATTTCCATGATTGTTCTTAATGCTACAACAAACTCTTTTTTTTTTTTTATTGCTAACTAGTCATTTTTAATCAAAATAAAAAAGGAGAGAAAGTGTTGGGTAAAAACAACTAACTTATTATATGCATAGATAATAATACATGTTATACATATTTAAATTAATTTTATATTGATAATTAATCTAAATTAGCTATTGAATTAATTAATTAGTAAATAGTTATCGATTATTCTCTAGAGATGATTCATTATCCATCTTGTCATTTCGGATAGATGCTACATGCTAGATTTTTTTTTATTATGATTTGTGCAATTTTATGAAAAAAAATATGCATACAAATTTATTATAAGTATTTAAATATAGAAATAATATCAATAGGGGTATAATAGTAAATATAAAATAATACATTTTTTTTCTCCTTTTTTTTTTTTTTTTACAATTATCCAACAAGAGAAATATACTTTATTTCCTTTCATTTCTACTTTTATCCAAACAACAAGTGAAAAATAATTTTCTTTCCTCTCACTTTCTTTCCTCTCTTTTCGTTCCTCCCAAGAGAAAAAAATCCAAACAAGGGGTATAATATACGATGCTTTTTCTCTCTCTCACATAAGTCTACAATTCAAAAAAAAAAAAAAAAAAATAGTACCACCTCTCTCTTTCTCTTATGTCTCGCACGTGCCAAAAATAGAAAATTGCTCATTCGATCATTCAACAATTATCTAGATTCACTCATCGATATACTTTTTTTTTCTCATGTGTTTTTAGCTTTTATTTTAACATGATTAATTTCCTATTCTAACTCTGCTTTTTTTTTTTTTTTGCTTCGGTTTTGTATTGTTCCCGCTAGTTGTGATGATCATCTACCATGACGGGCGTGGGTTTTATTTTCATCCTCATCTTTGTTTGTTCTTGGTGAGTTTTTTATATTTTACCCCTTGTTTGGATATTTCCTCTTGGGAGGAAAGAAAAGAGAGGAAAGAAAGTGAGAGGAAAGAAAAGTGAGAAGAAAGAAAACTATTTTCCACTTGTTGTTTGGATAAGAGTGAAAATGAAAAGAAAGAAAATATATTTTCTTTGTTTGAATAATTGTAAAAAGAGAGGAGAAAGAAAATGTATTATTGTATATTTACTATAATACCCCTATGATTATATTTCTATATTTAAATACTTATAATAAATTTGTATAAATATTTTTTTCATTGAAATTGTACAAATGATAATAAAATAAAAATCTAGCATATAGCATCTATCCGAAATAACAAGATGGATAATGAATCGCCTCCATAAAATAATCGATAATCGTTTACTAATTAATTAATTAATTCAATAGCCAATCTAGATTAATTATCAACATAAAATTAATTTAAATATGTATAACATGTATTATTATCTACGCATATAATAAGTTAGTTGCTTTTACCCATCATTTTTTTAGTTTTTTTATTTATTTTAGATTAAACAATTACTATTTAGCAATCCAATAAAAAAAAAAAAGAGTTTATTGTAACATTACGAACAATCATGAAAAATTAATTGAATCACGAGAAAATGAGAAGAATTTCATATTTGAACAGACAAGCATAATAATAAAAAAACATGACACAATAACAAGAAAACATGACATATTGTCTTCTGTTGGTCATTGAAGTAATGTCTTATTTTTAATGGCCTTTAATTTGCAAATGTTAAACCAAACGAGTTCCCCAACAAGGCAGCGTCGGGCACAGCCAACCCTTAAACCAGCCTCGTCATAAACCCACCTAAAAAGCTATCCCTTGCACTTGTTGGATCATCTTGATTCGCCAAAAAGGGCAAAATCCCCAACTCCCTGTCTTTCCAATACAATTTACAGCCATCTTTCCCATTAGTCACCACCACACAACACCAGTTCCTCACCTCCTATACATCCATAAACGCCGCCTCCTCCGATAAAGCCTTTAAAACCCCAATTCGTGATAACAACGAATAAAAGTCCGTCTCCTCTAACTTAACAAGCTTAACAGTCCCATCAACACTATCAAAAATCCTAATTAAAGCTTGAATATCAACAAAAATAGCATCACAACGCTCAATCATCCTTTTAAGCGTCGCAGGAAGTATTTCCCCGCCAACACCAACTGTCATTCCAAAATTGGACTTGGTAGCAGGAAGATCCGAAGGCCTTATCAGGTCACAAGCACAGACCCGCTTTAAGACCCCATCTTGATGACCATTCCCATGAATACCCAGATCAAAATAAGCGTGAGAACAACAGTTTTTGAAGTAGGTATTACAATTGGGATATAATTAACTGGGTATTTAAAATCTTCCCCAACTTTCAAAACTAAATTATAAGAGATTGACATTCCATTGAGAACATTGGAAATGAAAGAGGTTGCACCACCAAGTGACTCGGCCTTGACGATGTCATTTTGGATCAAAACATTGTGGCAGTAATTTCCCACAATCAAAACACGATTTTGCTGTTGTCAAGCTTTGTGGGCTGCTGCGGCTATTGTAAACATTGTTGTGAAGTTGATGTAATTGTTGAAGGTTTGCAGGTCATGAGTGAGAGAGAGCTAAATTTGGAACGATCATGAGAAATGAAGAAGAGAAGAGAAGCGTATCTGTCTTAGTGTGGAAGAATGGACAAAAATGGGGAGGTTTGGGTATATGTTGAAAGAGAGAAGACGAGCGCCAAACATATAAAGTCGTCGATGTGCAGAACTAGTGTGCCTTAAAGCCGTCGATGTGCAGATCTGTTTTGATAAGTTTTACCGTGATTTGTTACTGCAGAGAGATAAGAAATGGAGAGGGACGGATGAGGCAGATGAGGGCAAAAATGAGAATATCTCATATTTGTTCCCGCCGGGATGCTTTCTCTCGTTTTTTCTCCCGGTTTCCTCCCAATTTTGGGAGGAAAATGGATACCACCATTTATAGGTTTGTTTAATTTTTTTTTTCTTCCCACTGCTTTGCTCTCCAAATCAAACGAAGGAAAATGTTTCTTTCCTTTCTATTTTCTTTCCTCCCCATCCAAACACAGGGTTACTGTTGGTTTTTGTGTCTTTTATTAACAACTAACCTGGATTATTGCTTTTTTTATTTTCTTTGGATTGCTCTTCAGATGAATCTCAGCCGTTTGAAGGATCTTGTCTTTGTGCTCCTGGTGTAAAATTCACCTTATTAGCTGATATATTAGCATCTGTTTTATTTGCTACTCAACATGGAAACTTCCAAAGACTGTTTCTAGATCTTGCTCAATTTCATGTTCGTCTGGATTTCCCTTCTGTTGCTGGTATCATCCCACCAAGCATTGACATGCTTCCTGCTCCTTCTCATGTACTATTTCTTGACTGGGCCAGTCAAGTAGTGAGTGAACGGGAGAGCCTCTCCTCAGAATATCCAACACCTTTGCAAGCTTTTCTTCACTTCCCTTGACGAGCCTCTTCATCTGGGGGAAAGCCTAACACAGGGGCAAATAAGATGTCGTCAAGTTGTTAATATGTGGGTGATAATTCGGTGCCTCAACCTCCAGCGACCGATCCACAATGCCCCTTTATGGTTTTTCCTGGCAAATATGTTCCCTAAGACTTATCCAAATCTATAAAGGAACATTCTGTGTTTTGTACCATTGTATTAAAAGCAACAATCCTTGCTGTTAACCAATCGTACTACTTTCCTAAAAATTTCCCCACTCACTCACCCTCCATCACCATTTCGTTACCATGCATCATGCATAGAACCACAAATATTTTCTCGACTTTTCAAATACGAAAAAAAAACTAGACCCATTTTCAGCATTTACAGGAAACTGACGGCTACTAAATTTTACAGAGAATGAATCAAACGTTAGAAGATTTGAGATATCTTTACATGGTTATGGTCCTAAGGGGGTGCTTTGAGTTCCTTTATCAATATCTTTTTTCCTCTTTTATGGTGATTTGGGTTTGAAAATATCTTGACGGTCAATGTGAATCTACATGTGGAGTGATAGATGGAGGGATTGGGGTCTCTGGGAAAAAACAAAGAAGTTGATACTGCATAAAATAAGAGTGGATGATGCCCAATGTATATATTTATGGAGATGATAATGATGATCAGTAAAATCGTCCCTTCCTTCCATCAAACCAAATATTGTTACTTTATCGTAGGGGAAAAACATGAGGACTTAATTAATTGTTGTTATAAAATAATAAATGCCCATATGGATGTCCATCTACTTTTCATATCTCAACTACTCATAATCCTTAACGTGATTCAATTCACCATTCAATATGAGATATCGAAAGGGTGATGCAATTGATATACTTTTAATTATTCATAGTCTCTTCCAATTCTCATCTCAATTTTGAGGCCTATAAATAGGCTTGATTCTTCATTTATTGATGTACAAGTTTTTAGAGAGATTAAGAGAATAACTTGAAGTTTTCTCACTTGTATTCACTTTATAGTGAATTCTTCTTCTTGTCATCCTTCTTTTAAATTCTCATATATCTTTATTTTTCACAACACATTATCAAGCACGATTGTTCTACAAACGACGCAAATCATCTAGCCTATTAAGAGTTATGTACCTAATCTATCTTTTATTTTAAATCTAATAGTACATAAGATATATATTTGAAAACTTGAATAATCTAATATATATTCTAATAATCTAATGCATGTTGTTTTGAGAAGTTTGAATATTATTATTATGTTTGTTTTTATTTTCTAACATCATTATTATATCTTGTATTATAGAATTTTTATCATGTCAAACCTCACAAAGCTTGATTTTGTGGCCCTTGACATTTCGAGCAAGAATTATTTATCATGGGTGCTTGATGCTCGAGATACATTTAAATGCGAATGGCCTTGGACAAACAATCATGGATGATAATCAAGAATCCTTACAAAATCGTGCTAAGGCAATGATCTTCCTTCGTCATCATCTCCATGAGGATTTGAAAATTGAATATTTAACGATGAAAGATCCATTTGAACTGTGAAAAAATTTAGAGGAAAGATATAACCACTAAAAGATGGTAATTCTTCCAAAAGCTCGTTATGATTAGATGCACTTAAGGTTACAAGATTTTAAAACTGTAAGTGAGTATAATTTTACGAGTATTTAAAATCGGTTCCCAACTAAAATTATGTAGAGAAAATATTACCGATTCGATATGTTAGAGAAAACATTCTCTACTTTTCATGCCTCGAATATGCTCCTGCAACGACGAATATCGAGAAAAAGGTTTTAAGAAATACTCCGAATTGATTTCATGCCTACTTGTGGTCGAACAAAATAATGAGCTACCGATGAAAAATGATGAATCTTGCCCAACTAGATCTACTCCATTCCTTGAAGTGAATGTGACATCTTATAATAATTTTGGGCATGGACGCGGTCGTGGCCATAGCCATGGACGTGGACGTGGTCGTGGCAATAGTTGTGGTTGGAATAATTATCGTTATAATCATGGTGGTAATAATAATACACCTCATCCCCAAAAGTGGATAAATTATGAAAAGAAACAAGAAAAGAATAAAGGTGGATCAAGTCGGCACTTCAAAAATGAATGTTATAGATGTGGTATGAAGGGACGAGTGGTCGCGTACTCGTCGTACGTCAAAACACCTAGTTGAGCTTTATCAAGCCTCATTAAAAAAGAAAGAAAGTGATATATAGGCAAATTTTATATATCAAAATAATGTTTGTGACAATGTTCCTCTCTAAGATTTCGGTAACTTAACACATTTAGATGTTACCGATTTCTTTGAAGATTCCGAAAGAAAAAATAATTAGGTTAATGATAATTGTTTGAAATTTTATTACCTTTTGATAAATAAAGAAGTTTTATGTTTTATTTTTATTTCATCATATTATTTTTTTTTATTTGTTTGTTTTTTTGTTTATGAAGAATATATTAATATTACCAAGTTTGGAATTGGTTTAAATGTCATGGAGGAGAATCTATACCTCGTGGATAGTGCAACCACGCATACTATACTTAAAAATAAAAAGTATTTCTCATTTTTAATGATAGGCAAGGCTAATGTTAACACTATATCCGGTAGTGTTGATTTAATTAATGGCTCGGAAGAGCAAATATATTACTACCTGGAGGGACAAATTTGATTATAGATGATGCATTATTCTCTCCTAAGTCTCACAAAAATTTATTGACTTTTAAAGATATTCATTTAAATGGATATCATATTGAGACAACAAATATTGAGAATATTGAGTACTTATGTATTACAAAAATTAAATCGGGTAGAAAATATGTATTGGAGAAATTACTCGCTTTCTCTTCTAACATTTATTATACAAATATTCAAATGATTGAAACAAATGCTATAGTAAACCGAAGTTTACTAATCCTTTTATTTTGTGGCATGACCGATTGGGCCATCCTGGATTAATTATGATGCGAAAAATTATTGAAAATTTGTATGGACATCCATTGAAGAACCAGAAAATTCTTCAATCTAATGACTTTTCATGTTCGCGTGTTCTCGAGGCAAACCTATTATTAAGCCTTCACTAAATAAAATTGAGATTGACTCTCCGAGCATTTTTAGAACGTATACAAGGTGATATATGTGGATCAATTCATCCACCATGTGGACCATTTAGATATTTTATGGTTTTAATAGATGCATCTATAAGATGGTCACATGTATGCTTATTATCAACTTGAAACCCGGCGTTTTCGAGGTTACTTGCTCAAATAATTCGATTACGAGCACAATTCTTAGATTATACCATTAAAACAATTCGCATTGATAATGCTTGGTGAATTTACATCTCAAGCTTTTAATAATTATTGCATGTATATTGGAATAAGAGTTGAATAGCTTGTTGGTCATGTTACTCAAAATGGTCTAGCAGAATCATTTATCAAAAGCCTCCAATTGATAACTAGACCATTACTTATGAAAACAAAACTTTCTGTTTATGTTTGGGGACATGTAATTTTATATACAGCAATACTTATTCGCATCGACTCTACAAGTTATCATAAATTATCTCCCCTTCGATTGGTTTCGGTCATGAGCCTAATATTTCTCATTTGAGGATTTTTGGATGTGCGGTATATGTTCCAATTACTCCTCCACAACGAACTAAAATAGGTCCTCGGAGGAGATTAAAAATATATATTGGATATGAATCTCCTTCTATAATTAAATATCTTAAACCATTAAGAGGGGATGTTTTTACGCTTCGTTTTGCCGATTGTCATTTTGATGAAACAATTTTTCCAACATTAGAGGGAGAAAATAAACAGAATAAGCGATTAGAAATGTCGGAAAAAGAAATTACATGGAATACTTCATCTTTATATCATCTTGATCCTCGTACAAAACAATGTGAACTTGAAGTTCGAGAGGATAATTCATTTACAAAGTCTTCCAAACCAAGCGTCGGATGCATTCTCCGATCCAAAGAGAGTAACTAAATCACATGTTCCTACCGAGAATGCTCCTATTAAAATTGATGTCCCAATAGGACAACCTATTAATTTTTTAACAAATGAATCTAAAGCACGCCCGAAGCGTGAAAGATCCATCGGTTCTAAAGATAAAAATTTTCGAAAGAAAAAAAGGAAAATAATTAAGATGAAAATTAAAGAAGGCAAATAAAATGATCCAAGATGTTTTTGATAACAAGCTTCCGGAAGAAGCCCAAATGCTTGAGAAAAATCAAGAAATTTTGATAAATTATGTTAACATAGGGAGAGTATGAGACCGAAAAGAAACATTCATTGATAGCATCTTTATATATAATGTGGTAATTGATATTTCGAATAAGGATCTTGAGCCTACATCTATTGAAGAATGTCGACATAGAGATGATTGGCCTAAGTGGAAAGATGCAATTCGGGAAGAATTAAAGTCTCTCACAAAACGAGCAATTTTTGGACCCATAGTTAAAACACTCGAAGATGTTAAGCCAATAGGATACAAATGGGTATTTATGCGAAAACGAAATGAAAAAGATTAAATTATGAGATATAAAGCAAGACTTGTAGCGCAAGGGTTTTCACAAAGACACGGGATTGACTATGAAGAGACATATTCTCCTGTAATGGATGCAATTACATTTCGTTATCTTATTAGCTCGACAACATGTGAAAAACTTCATATGCATTAAATGGATATAATCACGACCTATTTATATGGGTCACTTGATAATGATATCTATATGAAAGTCCTAGAAGGACTTAAAATGCCCGAAACATATAAAATATATTCTCGAGAGATGTATTCAATTAAATTACAAAGATCTCTATATGGATTGAAATAATGCGAACGCATGTGGTATAATCGTCTTAGTGATTATTTATTAAAAGAAGGTTATAAAAATAACCCAATTTGTCCATGTGTCTTTATAAAGAAATTCGAAAAGGGGTTTGTGATAATTGTTATATATGTTGACGATTTAAATATAA